GTAAGATTATAGTATCACAGTTATCCAGGAAATTTGCATATATTTAAAGGCAAAGTGCCATGATATCTATAACTTACTCTCAAATGATACAGAAATAACCCATACATAAGCAGATAAAAAGAGCTGAAATAAGATAAAGCAAATAATATGAATGTAAACATATATGATGGGTTACTAAATTCTTTCAATTTTTCTGTATGTTAAATTAAAATGTACATTTCAAATTTAGGGAAAACCTCAAAGAGAACAATTTACTTCTTGATAGTCCATTATTAATTCCTACTTTATCTTAAATTGTGAACAGAGAATATGAATTGTTGGCTATTATCAAAATCTTGGCCAGGCACAGTGGCTTATGTCTATAATCCCAGTAATTTGGTAAGCCAAGGCAGGAGGACTGCTTAAGGCCTTGAGAACAGCCTAGGCAACATAGTGAGACCCCATCTCCACAAAAAATGAAAAAAGCAAAAGCAAAACAAAACAAGATATGCAAAATCTCTCTCTCTCTTTTTTTTTTTTTGAGACGGAGTCTTGCTCTGTCACTCAAGCTGAAGTGTAGTGGTGTGATCTCGGCTCACTGCAACCTCCACCTCCCGGGTTCAAGTGATTCTCATGTCTCAGCCCTCCGAGTAGCTGGGATTACAGGTGTGTGCCATTACACCCAGCTAATTTTTGTATTTTTAGTAGAGATGGGGTTTTGCCATGTTGCCCAGGCTGGTCTTGAACTCCTGACCTCAGGTGATCTGCCAGCTTTGGCCTCCTAAAGTGCTGGGATTAGAGGTGTGAGCCACTGCACCTGGCCAAAATCTTCAGACACACAAAAATCATATTTTTAATTTCCAAAATTATGTAAAATTTAATAGATGAGTGGCTTTAAGAAGCTGTTCTAAATTAATTATGCTATTAGAATCTTTCATAAAAATTAATTATCAGCAATGCAAATAATGACGATATCCATAATAGCTCATATTTATTTATTTATTTATTTATTTATTTATTTTGAGACAGAGTCTCGCTCTGTCACCTAGGCTGGAGTGCAGTGGCACGATCTCAGCTCACTGCAACCTCCACCTCCCAGGTTCAAGTGATTCTTCTGCCTTGGCCTTTCTGAGTAGCTGGGACTACAGGTGCGTGTCACCACACCCAGCTAATTTTTTGTATTTTTTGTAGACATGGGGTTTTACCATGTTAGCCAGGATGATCTCAATCTCCTGACATGTGATCCACCCACCTCAGCCTCCCAAAGTGCTGAGATTACAGGCATAAGCCACTGCACCCGGCCAATAGCTCATATTTATTGAGCATGAGGCTATATGCTAAACAGTCTTCCCAGGTTTTGACAAGTATAATTTGGGCCACATCCATGTAATAGGACTCTTATGTACCTTTTTTTCTTTTTAGACAGGGCCTAAAAAAGCCAGGCTGGTGTGCAGTGGCTATTCACAGGCACCATCATTGAGCACTGCAGCCTCACACTCTTGCCTCAAGTGATCCTCCCGCCTCAGTCTCCCGAGTAGCTGAGAGTACAGGTGTGCACCACCATGCCTGGGTTTCATGTAGGCTCTTGATTATACTTTGCAAATAATTCCCATAGATGATAAATATCTTGGCCAATGACACACAGGGAGTTATGTGGCAGTGATGACAGGTAAGGCATGAGCTGTGGCTAAAAGCACTACTGCATACGTGACATTAACAAGTTAGTTTATTAGTACTAATTTTTGAGACCTCAACAATGATTGAGTGGTGTCAGGTGTGGTGATTTTAAAATAAAAATATGTCTGCAAATGTTTTGACATTTCTCTCTTTAAAAGGTGAAAGTGGGCTGGGCACGGTGGTTCACGCCTATAATTTCAGCACTTTGGGAACACTGTGGGAGGACTGCTTGAGCCCAAGAGTTTGAGACGAGCCTGGGCAAGTTGGTGAGACCCCCATCTCTACAAAAAAATTAAAAATTAGCTGGGCATGGTGGTGCACACCTGGCGCACACCTGGCGCACAGCCACTTGGAAAGCTGAAGCAGGAGGATCACTGAAGCCCAGGAGGTTGAGGCTGAAGTGAGCCATATGCACTCCACTGGGCGACAGTGAAAGATCGTGCCTCCAAAAAAAAAAAAAGGTGAAACTTAATTCCACTCTTACTGAATGTAGGCCAGACTTAGTGACTTGCTGGTAACAAATAGAATGTGGCAGAACTAACTTCCAAAGGGAGATTATAAAAAGGATCACATCTGAGAAAAGCCAATTGTCACGTCACAAGCACACTCAAGCAGCTTATGGACAAGGCCCCATGGGAGAAGAAACGACTTGCCAGTAACAACTTAGCCACAGAACCAAGCCATATTTGAAAGCATATCTTCTAGCTATAGTCAAGCCTTTAGATAAGCACAACCTCTTGAGACACTTGGAGTAAGAACTGCCCAGCTTCGCCGCTCCCAAATTTCTGAGTCACAAAGACTGTGAGAAAAATACATATTTATTAGCATTTTAAGCCAGTAATTCTTCAGGTTCTCTGGAATGTGGCATGAGATAACAGATTCTGGTACCTAGACAAGGGATGCTATTGAAACAAAAAGCTATAAATGTCAGAGGGTCACTGGGACCACAAACTGGGTGGATATTGGAAGGGCCTAGAAAATATTATTAGCAGAAACCTGGATATTTTTGAAGAGGCTCCTAGTGAGGTCTTAAAGAAAACTGAAAAATGTTACTAGAGACTGTGGGGAAGGGATTCTTGTTATATAACAGCAGAAAGCAACATTGCTGCATGTGGTAACTGTGAAAAGTATAAAATAATACATACAGAACTGTGTAACTGGGCCAGGCTCGCGCTGTAATCCCAGCACTTTGGGAGGTCAAGGTAGGAGGATCAAGAGTTTGAGACCAGCTCAGGCAACATAGAGAGACCTCATCTCTACCAAAAAACAAACAAAAAAAAAAAAAAAAAACAAAGAATGTACTAGGTGTAGTTGTGCATACACCTGTAGTCCTAGCTACTGATAAGGCTGAGACGGGCGGATCACTCAAGCCCAGGAGTTCAAGGTTGTAGTGAGCTATGATCATACCACTGCACTCCAACTTGGGTGACAAAGCAAGATTATGTCTTTAAGAAACAAAAACAAACAAACAACAGCAACAAAAAAAAGTGGGTAATTTAGCTTAGGAGACTTCCAAGCAGAATGTTGAGGGTGTCTCCTGGCTCTTGTTGCTTAAGTGCAAGAAGTGAGATAAGCTAGAAAAAGTTTGTTAAACACAAGTGAACCAGGACTTGCTTTTGGAAACTCCCAACCTCGCCAGAAAGCAAATGATGCTAAACTTCAGAAATGGTCTCTGGACAAAGACAAAATCCAGAGCGCTGTTAGGGAAACATAGTATATAGGTAACCTTAGGGTATGTGTTCACACTGATCCTCTGAAAAGCAAAAAACAAGATCAGATCAGAAGGAAGGAAGGGGCTATGAATGAAAAAGAGGTCCAGGAAAGGCAGCAAAAGCCTTCAGGTCATGGTTCAAGACGGATGACTCTGAAGGAGAGGAATGAAGCAAGATTGATAGAGAAACTAAATGCAGGGCTATGAAGACAGTTTAAGCCTGGCTGATGGGAGGCTGATTCACAGTTCCCCAGCTGAAGGGTCTGGGTTTCATAAGAATTGACTAGCATGAACACTTCTGTTACGCTCAGAAAAGGGGCTGGGGGCAGCCCATGGGAAGCCTGGCCTCAACATGAACACAGTGATTATTTCAGAGAGGGAGCAGAGGGGGCACTTCACAGCAGGTTATCTGTTCTCCAAAGAATAGAGTATGACTATTAAAAACCCTTGGTTAAGGCCCCAGAAATATCTAATGTGACAATTATGAGAATCACCACTCAATGAAATTTCTATAAAAGGTTCTGTCAGCAGCCTCTGCAGAAGCCCAAGGTAGAGGAGGCCAGATCTGCATGAGAGTGAATGAACAAGTGAGCATGAGCACTAGGGAAAGGCGATCCTGAAGATTCTGTTCATTAGAAGCAAGTGACTAGGTTCACCTCACATGCAAAGGGAGGCAAATTGGACTTCTGGTTTTTTTGTTTTTTGTTTTTGTTTTTGAGATGGAGTCTCACTCTGTTGTCCAGGCTGGAGCGCAGTGGCACGATCTCAGCTCACTGCAGCCTCTGCCTCCCAAGTTCAAGCGATTCTCCTGCCTCAGTCTCCCTAGTGGCTGGGACTACAGGCATGTGCCATCACGCCTGGCTAGTTTTTTATTTTTTTATTTTTAGTAGAGATGGGGTTTCACCATGTTAGCCAGGCTTGTCTCAAACTCCTAACCTCAAGTGATTCGCCTGCCTTGGTCTCCCAGAGTGCTGGAATTACAGGCATGAGTCACCATGCCCGGCCAGACTTCAAGTTTGAAGGGTAGAGTTTCAAAGAATTTGAGGGCATATTTTTAAAACACCATGACTGGCACTCTGAATACAAATTGCTTATATTTCTACGTCATGCAAAATATCCTCAAGAAGCCACCCAAATTGCTTGAGCCCAGAAGTTGAAAGGTGCAGTGAGCTATGATCATGCCTCTGCACTCTAGCCTGGGTGACACAGCAAGATCCTGTCTCCAAAAAAAAAAAAAGCTCCAAAGTCTCATTCATTTGTAGCATCAACTACTCTCAGTCAGGCTAGGATTTCCTCATGTAAATTGAACCCACTGTGGATGAGGACAGCTTTCTCCTGGCACTCTCACTCTCTAAGCCAGCCCACCAGTGTGAGCGAGTCACCTGGAAAACAGATCCTTCAGCCCCAGCAAGTCCTCAGAAGACCACAAGCTCAAGGAAAAACCAATCCAAAAGCACTCAGTTAAGCCTCTTCCGAATTTCTGACCGTCAGAACCTATGAGTGATGTTTACTGTTGTGGTAAGACATTAAGGCTTGGAGTAATTTGTAATACAGCCATTGAAATCTAGTATGAAAGGCTATTGGTCATCCTTTTAATTAATAAGTTTATATAAAAAAATCCATGCCATGGATGTTGTAGGCATGAAGAAACTGGGATTCCTGGTTTTTTTTTTTTTCTTCTTAATTTACCATTGAACAGTCAGATGTTCCGTTAAAATATCGACATCGAATGCTTTCTAATGTGGCAAGAACTGCATTTTGAACTCTCTCAATTGCTAAAGCCATACCTGTAAGACTAACATTCCATCATTTCTCACCAGTGTGGACTGTCTGATGATGAATGGCGAGCTCGTACTCTTTATGGTCTTAGACTTTTGTGCTCCTATGAATTCCCTGATGGGCTTTAAGGGCTGAACCATATCTGAAGGTTTTCCCACACTGCTTACACACATAGGGTTTCTCACCAGTATGAATTCTCTCATGTTGAACAAGGTTTGAAGCACGACTGAAGGCCTTCCCACATTCTTTACATTCATAAGGTTTTCCACCAGTATGAATTTTCTGATGTTGTGTAAGGTAGCCATACATTTTAAAGGCCTTTCCACATTCTCTACATTCATAGGGTTTTTTATCAGCATGAATGCTCTGATGTGCAGTAAGGTGTGAAGTACGTCTAAAGGTCTTCCCACATTCCTTACATTCAAAAGGTTTCTCATCAGTATGAATACTTTGATGTAGAGTAAGATTTCTATAGAAAGTAAAGGTTTTTCTACATACCTTACATTCATAGGGTTTCACACCAGTATGAATTTTCTGATGTTGATTAAGATATCCATGCAAGCTAAAGGTCTTTCCACATTCCTTACATTCATAGGGTTTCTCACCAGTATGAATTTTCTGATGTTGAATAAGGTTTGAGCCAGTACTATAGGCCTTCCCACATTCCTGGCATTCAAAAAGTTTCTTACCAGTGTGAATATTCTGATGTCGAGTCAGATTTCTATATAAAGTAAAGGTTTTCTTACACTCCTTACATTCAAAATGTTTCATGCCAGTATGAATTTTCTGATGTTGTTTAAGGTAGCCATATAAGCTAAAGGTCTTTCCACATTCCTTGCATTCATAGGGTTTCTCACCAGTATGAGTTTTCTGATGTTGAAAGAGTTTTGAACCAGTAGTATAGGTCTTCCCACATTGCTTGCATTCAAAAAGTTTCTCACCAGTATGAATATTCTGATGCCGAGTAAGATTTCTATACAAAGTAAAGGTTTTCTTACACTCCTTACATTCATAGGGTTTTCCACCTTTATGAATTCTCTGATGTAGAACAAAGTAGGAGGCAGTCGTATAGCCCTTCCCACATTCTTTACACTCATATGGCTTTTTACCAGTGTGAACACTCTGATGTACAGTAAGTTGGTGACCTCTTCTAAAGGCTTTTCCACATTTCTCACATACGTATGGCTTCTCATCAGTATGAATCTGCCCATGTTCAACAAGATTTGAGCGCCTACTAAAAGTCTTCCCACATTCCTTACATTTATATGGTTTTTCGCCAGTATGAACTCTCTGATGAATTCTAAGGTGTCCACCTTGACTAAAGGCTTTCCCACACTCCTGACATTCATAAGGCTTCCCACCAGTGTGAATTCTCTCATGCTGAGCAATGTGTGAGGCATATATAAAGGCCTTCCCACACTGCCTACATTCATAGGTCTTCTCACCAGTATGAAATCTCTGATGCACAGTCAGCTGATAACCACTTTTAAAGTTCTTCCCACATTCTGTACATTCATAGGGTTTCTCACCAGTATGAAATCTTTGATGGAGAGTAAGTTGATAACCACTACGAAAGTTCTCCCCACACTCTTTGCATTCATAGGGTCTCTCAATAATATGAAACTTGTGATGTAGAATAAGTTGATAACCACTACTGAATTTCTTCTGACATTTCTTACATTCATAGAGTTTCTCTCTCTTATATATGCTCTGAAGTTGTGTAGAGGATATACCTGTTTCATAAGTGGGTACTTCTATGTAGCTGATTATCTCACACTGTAAATCCAAATCTGAAACAAAAGAGGACAACAAAAAAAATTTGTATTTCTATACCAGAGAACAAGAAACTTTATGAAACAAAGAAAAACCAACCCTCACAATAAGTGAATGGCATACAGAATTCAAAAATACGGTTATGAAATTTGAAAAAGGCCAAGAAGAGTTCAGAGATGTATACAAGTTTAAGTAAGATAGTAAAATTGAGGACATAGGTAACATTTAGGTGGGGCCAGAATTTTTTTTCTTTTTTTTTTTTTTTTGAGACGGAGTCTGGCTCTGTCACCCAGGCTGGAGTGCAGTGGCACCATCTCGGCTCACTGCAAGCTACGCCTCCTGGGTTCACGCCATTCTCCTGCCTCAGCCTCCCGAGTAGCTGGGACCACAGACGCCCGCCACCTCGCCTGGCTAGTTTTTTGTATTTTTTTAGTAGAGACGGGGTTTCACCGTGTTAGCCAGGATGGTCTCGATCTCCTGACCTCGTGATCCGCCCGTCTCGGCCTCCCAAAGTGCTGGGATTACAGGCTTGAGCCACCACGCCTGGCCGGGCCAGAATTTTTGACAAGCTTGTTTCAAATCTGCCATCTTGGCACTGTCAAAGACCAAGTGAATTAAAACTGAGAGGAGAAAAACCTTGACATCTTTATTTTGAACCTATCACTGATTTAGATGCAGGTCAGTGTTTAAGAATACATCCTTTAAGTTCCTCAAGTGATTTTTCATTATTCTTAGAATAAAATACAAATCCCTTTCCAAGGACTGCTGCTTACCTAGGAGGCCTCATGTCAAAACAACTAACTCTTTACTTCCTATTCTCTATCATAGTTCCTCTTTGCAACACCAAGAATATAGTACAATTGCCCCTTGGTATCTGTGGAGGATCAGTTCCAGGACCTCCTGCAGATACTAAAACCCAATCCAGCTACAGATGCCCAAGTCCCTGATATAAAATGGCATAGTATTTGCACATAACCTATACGCATCTTCCTGTATACTTTCATCTCTGGATTACTTACAATAGCTAATACAATGTAAATGCTATGTGAATAGCTGTTCTACTGTATTACTGAGAAAATAATGACAAGAAAAAAGTCTGTATGTGGTCAGTACTCTCACAATTTAAAAATATATGTTTGATCTGAAGATGGTTGAATCCATGAGTGCAGAAGCCATGGATACAAAGGGCCAACTATACAACTTCCCACAACACTTAATGCTGTCCACAGACTGTTTAACCGCTCAAGAGTCCTTAGAAATTAGGACTTAGAAATTAGTCCTTAGACTAATTAGACTTAGAAATGTCTAAGCCTAAGTCCTTAAACTTAGACATTTCGCAGGCTGAATCCTTCTCATCCTTTATGTTTCAGGGTAAATGTTCTTTCTTTGGAAAGGCAGTACCTGCTAACTCTGTCTGTCTCTCTATCTTTATCTATCTATCTATCTATCTATCTATCTATCTATCTATCTATCTATCCATCCATCCATCTATCCATCCATCCATCCATTCATCTAGCTACCAATCAATCAATCATCAAGACAGGGTCTTGCTCTGTCACTCAGGCAGAAGTACAATAGCCCAATCATAGTTCACTGCAGCCTTGTACTCTTCCGGCTCAAGTGATCTTCCCACCTCAACCTCTCAAGTAACTGGGACTACAGATGCACAACACCATGCCTGGCTCATTTTAAAATGATGTGTAGAGACAGGGTCTCACTGTGTTGCTTATCCACCATGATAAGTCAGCTTCATCCCTGGGATGTGAGGCTGGTTCAACATACACAAATCAATAAACGTAATCCATCACATAAACCGAACCAAAGACAAAAACCACATGATTATCTCAATAGATACAGAAAAGGCCTTTGATAAAATTCAACATCCTTTCATGTTAAAATTAAAAACTGGCAATAAACTAGGTATTGATGGAACATATCTCAAAACAATAAGAGCTATTTATGACAAACCCACAGCCGATATCATATTGAATGGGTGAAAGCTGGAAGCATTCCCTTTGAAAACCAGTACAAGACAAGGATGCCCTCTCTCACCACTCCTATTCAACATAGTACTGGAAGTTCTGGCCAGGGCAATCAGGCAAGAGAAATAAAAAAAGGTATACAAATAGGAAGAGAGGAAGTCAAGTTGTCTCTATTTGCAGATAACATGATTTTATATTTAGAAAACCCCATCATCTCAGGCCAAAAACTCCATAAACTGATAAGCAACTTCAGCAAACAAAATCAATGTGAAAAAATCACAAGCATTCCTTTACACCAACAATAGACAAGCAGAAAGCAAAATCATGAATGAACTCCCATTCACAATCGCTATGAAGAGAATAAAATACCTAGGAATATAGCTAACAAGGAATGTGAAGGACCTCTTCAAGGAGAACTATAAACCACTGCTCAAGGAAATAAGAGAGGACACAAACAAATGGAAAAAAATTCCATCCTCATGAATAGGAAGAATCAATATTGTGAAAATGGCCATACTACCCAAAGTAAATTATAGATTCAATGCTATTCCCATCAAATTACCATTAACATTCTTCACAGAATTAGAAAAAAACTATTTTAAATTTTATATGGAATCAAAGAAGACACCGTACAACCAAGACAATCCTAAGCAAAAAGAACAAAGCTGAAGACATCACGCTACCTGACTTCAAACTACACTACAAGGCTACAGTAACCAAAACAGCATGGTACTGGTACCAAAACAGACATATAGACCAATGGAGCAGAACAGAGACCTCAGAAATAACACCATACATCTACAACCATCTGATCTTCGACAAACCTGCCACAAACAAGCAATGGAGAAAGGATATCCTATTCAGTAAATGGTGCTGGGAAAACTGGGTAGCCATATGCAGAAAACTAAAACTAGACCCCTTCCTTACACCTTATACAACAATCAACTCAAGATGGATTAAAGACTTAACTGTAAAACCCAAAACCATAAAAATCCTGTATGAAAACCTAGGCAATACCATTCAGTACATAGGCATGGGCAAAGACTTGATGACAAAAATGACAAAAGCCATTGCAACAAAAGCCAAAATTGACAAATGGGATCTAATTAAACTAAAGAGTTTTTGCACAGGAAAAGAAACTATCATCAGAGTGAACAGACAACCTACAGAATGGGAGAAACCTACCCATCTGACAAAGGT